TCAAGCTTGTCAAAGCTGATGAAGATCGGAATAGAATAGGACACTCAGAGAAAGAATCGTTAGCTGATTTAATTGAGGATTCCCACAACCATTATACCAATTGCTGTATTATCCCTATGATCATTTCCTAGGCGAGCTGAGGAAAGAAGTTAATGGCAAACAAGGAAAGGAGGCTTCATCCTCCAGCTCAGAATTGTTTCCGGATACAGATTATTCTCCGAGATAAAAGAACAGTCAAAATGGAATACTGGAAAATGAGTTTCAGAAGGTGACAGATGGTATTCATCATCCAAGTAGGGATCTGATGGCATGGGTCAACAATCTGCAATTTGAGGTGGAGTCTTTTCGCAGTCAGAAAGGTGAACTGGAAGAACAAGTAATACATACAAATAATAGGCAACAGGAACTGGAGATTCTACTCAAGCAGAAAACTGATTCAGAAGCATGTCTGGAGAAAAAAGTTCATGAAAATCCACAATGTTTGATTTCAATAGAGGAGGGTTTTACGGTAGGTGAAGGATTGGCAAGTGGAGTTGAAGACTCTATTCAACCTGAAATGTGAACTGGAGGAGCACCTAAGACGTAAAGGACATGAGATTGTTCAGGTGCAAGAGTAACAAAGAAGCTGCAAGATAAATATTGAGATTGGAGAGAACAACAGAGACTTGGAATGAACTCTCCAATGTAAGTAAGAAATGTGTAGATGGACAGAACGAAGGACCTGACAGAGTAACGGCCTTGATAAACCAACAATCTGCATGAATAGTTGTGTGCAAAGAATGCTAAGTCAGAATTACAACTTGGGAGTATCTAATTCGGATTGAAAATCTAGAAACTGTGGATGAACAGAGAAACACTGAAAAAGAAAGAAATTGTAAGAGTTCAATTGAAGGGTCGGGAACCGGAATTAAAACTCTCAATGCAATCAGAAAAGTGAATTGGAAGGCCAAATGAGAAAAAAGAGCCACGAGATTGATCGATCAAGGGAGGACAAGCAGGATCTGCAGGGATCTTTGGATCGGACAGTTGATAAATTGGAAGAAACTGTTGAAGCCGTAAGAGGAGATCTGGAAATTAAAGATGATGAAATCAGTACTCTGGTAGAGATCGTCCGCACGATTGAAGATAGCAGAGGAACAAAGAGGTCAAGCTCTGGAAACAACAGAAGTTCCTTTTAAGAAAGAATTTAAGATACATGCCAAATGACTCAAAACCGTCAAAGATTGCTTTATTTTCCCCTTCTCATATTTCTCTCCTTTTGACACTCATGTCTCAGCAAGCATTTGTTGCCAACAATTGAAGGCAAAAAATTGTTAACATCAAGCAGAGATTCGAGTAAGCCTATGTAACATCTAATCGACCCAATAAGCTGTTGAATCTCCAATACAGTTATATACTACAATCATGGTAGATACAAGATACTACAACTAAGGCTTCAGTTCTAATATCTATTGACCCTGATTTAGCGGAACTAATGCACCCAGATCCTGGGCAGGCCATACCTAGCGTATATCTAAAAGGTCTCCGAACTCCAAATTCAATGCCTTTTGCTTAAGAGCAAACAGCAATAACAGCTTCCCTAACTTATAGTGCTTCTGACAGAAATAACTTAGCAGGTCTATGTACTGTTCATTATAGATCCCAAAAAATAATAAAGCTAACCCGCCACAGCAGTTATTCAACAGGGTAAGCTTATGCTTCGACACATGATTCACAACTGCAATCAAAATCATAAAACAAAACAAAATCCAACTGCAAAAGGGCATACAGTACTAAATACTTAGATCTCTAATACATAGCCAGTTACACAAATAACACTGAACAAATCATATGAAAATATTCTAGCAAGCTACTAGAAGGCCTCTAGTGCATCACTTGTCAACAAATACTTATTGGAAGTGCTGGTGCATAAGAATGAGCAGAATGGCAAAACTAGAAGGGGGACATATGGGGTGGACTATATCAGCAAGTGCTAAGACAGGTCCCTAATTTCTTCATAAACTGAAAAAAAGAAAAGTACTTCCCCATAGTTTACCTCCTTCAATAAAAATCCAAGTCCAATAAATAAGCTGAACTTTCCATTGGTTTCAATCAGATATCCTCATCTCAACTCCAAGAATGTCTTTTACCACCTCATATGTCACAAATGCAATTGCTATCGATGGGACCACCTGAAGAGAGTAGAAATTGCAATAAAACATTTTCATGCCAAATAATGTTCATGTAATACAAGAAGACAGATTTAGTAGAAGGAAAACGTAAAAGATTTAAGATAAAAAAACGGATATCCATCCATTTTACCAACTAGAAGTCGAAAAATATAAAATACCAAAATAAAAGAAGGAATAAGAGATAAATTAAAATTAAAGCATTTAACGAAAAAAATCATTGCTGTTGATGTATTACGTGATAAAAGATGATCATACAACAATGCTAATACTAACCTTCACCGAATTGGGGACCAAACCCTTGTACAAAGCTCCGAATCCCTCATGGCGAACTGTTTTTCTGAATGCATCAATCATACCAGTATATTCGAGTGGGGCCTTGCTCTTCCCATCACCAGTAACAACTGAAGCAGCGTCTTTCCAGCCAACCATCTGCATTCTTCGACGGATGACATCAAGAGGGTAAGCAACTGTCTGGCCAACGGTTCCAGCAGCAGCCCCACATGCAAGCTTTGTTGTCACACTCAACTCCGAACCTTCATCTAGTCCAAAAGGTCTAGTTTTGATCAACCAATCTTTTAAAGATTCATATACAGCAAAGTTGAGACCCACATATGGAATCTACAAACACCATAATATATCTTTTAGGCATCTATCACACAGAAATGAGAGCAATGCTTCATTCTTCTATTATTATAATAAATCCAAAGCTTCAATGAACAGAACAAGGTGATACTTCCAAACATCAGTTTGTACAGGACTATTTCTTAAACAAAACCAATGCAATTACTTAGGACACCAATGAAAGTACATTGTTTGTACAACATCCTGCACACAATTGGTAGCACTTTATTTGACCACTTCTCAGTAACCCCAAGCTAGAGAAAACACATCATTGACTGAGAAACAACCAAGGACAGAACAGCCCATAAAACTGACTCAAAGGATAAGGCATAACCTCATTCAAAACAGTCAGAAACAGTATAAGAAATATTGTGCTGCTCCAAGTCAGATATTCGTCTTGTTCTCTCTTAAAGCATTACTTAATGCATCCAAACAGGAGTATATGCAATCATAGACAAACATGTTCCGCATTGTTAATTATCCTTACTCTGGTGATGTTTTATCTAATCAGAAATTTCCTCTTCCAGAGAAATTTTATGGGCACAATTAAAATAGAAAACAATTTCCATCATATTTGTGATTAATTGATCTCAGAAATATCACGCAACCAAAGAAAAAGCTTCCCAGACTTAACTGAGGAGACAATACTTTAACACAAATGAGCAATCCAATATAGTGATAACATCATTATTTTGAAGAATGGAACTCCAACTTACAACTCCTATGACAGATGGAAGCCATCCCTTGTATAAAGCACGAGGGCCTTCTTCACGGAAAACTGTTGTGAGAGCATGGAAAATTCCTCTATACTGGCGAGGGGAATTCTCTGTCTGCAAGGAGCAAAGAGTAGAAGTGAAACTATTTAATCCTTGACATGGCATAAATCCACCAGAAAATCATATAATTCAGAATTTCAGATATCCAAAAGGAAATTCTAAAGAGTACCTGTACAGTAAGCCGACCTCGTACCATGTCCATTGGGTAAGTTGCTGACATGGCAATGATTCCAGCACATGCTCCAGCTCCAAGGCGTAAAAGCGGAGTAAGTTCAGCATCCTCTGAAAGAAATAGCTATGGAAAATGACTCCATGTACGGAATAGAATCCACCAACAGTTATCTTAGAAGACAATATGCCAAGTAATGTGAAGTTTGATGTGTTTATGGGCTCTATGCTTGGTCATGTATGTCTTGTAGCATATGTTATGTATCACATCCATCATCTCTTCTTTGACAAAAAAACAATGCAAAAAAGTGGGCGCTTGACATTTGCATGGAAATTCGTTGATCCATTTTGTTTTATGCGGGATTAGAAAAAACAAACTGCCTTTTAATAGCACTACAGGGCTGTGTTCTCCACAACTATTGTTTAGAAAAATGAAAGTTAAGCACATGCATTCTAAGAACACATCTAACATCAGAATCAAACAAGTAAGCAAGCAGCAATTCATCCCAACATCAGAATGATTCAAATAGCATATCGACATGCATGTAAATGTGAACACGCAACCCCCATAATATATTGCAAATCACATTTGATAATGAAAGAAATTACAGGATAAAAGGATCATGGTCTAGATATAAGTTAGAATAGTAGTGGAGTGCATGAGAAAAAGAAGGAAAAAAGACGGCCATACCTTTTCCAGGTTGCTGCCGGTATAGCCATAAGATTCTCCTGTACAGATGTCAAGTCAAGTGAGCCTCATTACAGATAAATGCAGAAGCTAATGCACAAGATTTCAAAAACTATAAAATGAATTTCACAAAAAGAAGAATAGATATCAAGAACTATACATTAATGAGAGAATGCATGCATTGGCAACGTATAGAGGGGCTCGGTACTACATAAAAAAGCGCAATCATAACAATCCTGTCTAAAGCTTTATAACTGGAAATAGAACCAGAGCAATGGAGAAAGTAACAAAGTGGGAATTAACATGATCCTACATCCCAGCAATAATAAACCTGATAGGATACTTAAACCTGCAACTAAATTGCTATTGTGAAGAAAATACTCTTGCTATATAATAGACTTGGATAAGTGAGTAAATAGGTGTTTCAGGCATCCCCTGTGCAGATGTCAAGTCAAGTGAGCCTCATTATAGATAAATGCAGAAGTTAATGCACAAGATTTCTAAACTATAAAATGAATTCCACAAAAAGCAGAATAGATATCAAACATTATATATTAATGAAAGAATGCATGGCATTGGCAACGAATACAGGTGCTCGGTACTACATAAAAAAGTGCAATCATAACATTCCTGTCTAAAGCTTTATAACTGGAAATAGAACCAGGGGAAATGGAGAAAGCAAAAAATGGGAATTAACAAGTTCCTACTTAGATCTGCAACTAAACTGCCATTGTGAAGAAAATACTCTTGCTATATAATAGACTTGGACAAGTGAGCAAATAGATGTTTTGTACTTTGCCTTAAAATGTCTTCTGAGAATTTGTCAGAGTGATTGTACTCCTCTGTAGTTGACTGCAGTTTACAATAGATTAGTTCCAAGGTTTCACAAGTTTCAATAGGCAATGCCATGCATTTTCTTTTTCTTTCCTAGATTATTGGATGGTTATTTCGCTCTTATATTGTCCAGCACAGTCATATCTTTCATAACTATCTGAATTATTTTTGTTTCATTTGGTTTGTGGTTTAAGAACTGATAAGTGTTNTCGCTCTTATATTGTCCAGCACAGTCATATCTTTCACCACTATCTGAATTATTTTTGTTTCATTTGGTTTGTGGTTTAAGAACTGATAAGTGTTTCTCAAAACTCCAACACATGCTTTTTTAAACCAGATTTTCTCTCAGCCACATGCATCCCATCATTTTTCTTTTTCCTTCTTAGATTACAATATTATGTCCAATAAGTNTTTCTCAAAACTCCAACACATGCTTTTTTAAACCAGATTTTCTCTCAGCCACATGCATCCCATCATTTTTCTTTTTCCTTCTTAGATTACAATATTATGTCCAATAAGTTTCACAAAAGTGTATTTGTGGCTCAGGAGCAGGCTCCTATATTTTAATACCAAAGTAACACAGAAATTTAAGAAAAAGAAAAACACTACTGGATCAAGAGAAGCACAGCATACTTGGATGCTTCCTCATAGCTAAAGAACTTGACAGCTGAGTTTGGGACAATGCGAGCGCAATTAGTGCCATTGCCTTTGAACAACCCTCGAAACCCCTCAGTTCTCCATATGTATTTCAATCCCTGAACTGTTCCACTGTATTTTATATTATGAGGATTCTGAACCTGCAATTTGAACACCCAAGCAAACACATGATGTTTTCCACCACCAACTGTGGAAAGGAAAATCAAACATGACCAACCACTAACCATGCGTACTGCACAGAGAAAAAAAACTCAAGCACCAAGCATTAGCTTAGAATTCTGGATGGAAAAAATCATGTATGTTTCTACTTCTTATAATGACCTACAAAAAGCGCAAAACAGTTTAATGCTACCATAAAAAACATGCAAAAGTCATAGCATCATGATCTCTCTATGGAGGGGTCAAATAACCGAAGCATTCAATAAATAATAGCATTTCATTAATGCATATCTATATGATGCTCCCAAAAAAAAAACTACATGCAAAAGATTTACCTGTAGCAAAATTTTCAACCGTTCTAATGGAGCCACAGCAGTTCGTGATCTGTAACATGAGGTACAGAAAATGAATTCAGAGTAACCAAACTACCGTCATAGACCAAAACTATGGATTGTAGCAACAGGTTAAGTTAAACAATGACAGACAGGTGCTCTGTTTAAAAAAGGTGCTTAAGAACGAAGTCTGGATTCGCAGGGGAAATTTTTTCCATTTTAGCTAGCCACATCGTCAACAGCTCCCTTAATTTTTCATTCAATCAATATCTCTCTCTCTCTCAAATTTGCTATTCATTAAAAAAAAAATGGAAGAATAAATCGAGATAGCAATAAATCAAAAGGTTTAATCAGAGAAAGTTAAGAACAATCCAGAGAATATATTAATGCGACATGAAATACATATCAAAAGAGAAAAAAATAGTAAGAACTGACACTCCACCGGCTACGCCTCCGGCGAAGAGAGATTTGCAGATGCTGAGTACGGCATGACTAGGAGCCTTGACTCCTTCACTAGCAATCTTTGCTTCTCCCGCCAGATTTACGATAGTAGACACCGCACTCTCGCTTCTCTTCCCTACCACATCCTCCGACGCCATTCAACAAAGTTCAAACCCTAACTAACTCGCCGGAGCCCAAACTATACCGATAAGAATTCGCCGTCGTCAGTTCGCCAGTCGATTCCGAGAGAGACAGAAGACACGGTAGGTCCTTTCCGCAAGAAATAAGCAAGCAAAAATGTTGAGTGCGGATACTGCTGCTGTATCACTGTATCTCTATATCTCTATAGCTTTTAAGCCTTCCACACTGTGTGTGTGTGTGTGAGGCGAGTAAAATGGAGATTAGTCGTTTGATGACTATTGTACGGTTGTCATGTTCCGGAGTGTTAATGATGTGCTTTTTCTATTAATGATGATTTAGACCATAAAGATAAGGTTTGGAGTTTAGTCCTAAGTAAAGGAGGGGACTTACAAACTAGGGTTACCAAATCTTTTTGTGGGATGGGTCATGGCTTAATGACGAATTAAGGTCTAATCTAATGAAACTAAGTTGGATTTGGGTTAGAATTAGGGTTAATATTGTTAAGAAATTCCCACGAAATTTCAAACATGTGAGAAACAATAATAGAGAAAACACATGCCGAAAAAAAATAATCACACATATAAGATAATATTTACGTGGTTAAGCAATTCGCTTACCTCTACGAAATTGCAAAATTTCACTATTTTCAAAAACAATTACAGAGAGGGCGGCAGCCGTACAAAATCAATCAACCTCAATCATCCAAAAGAAACAGGTTTTATATGGCTTGCACCAGCCTACAAAACAAATAGGCCCCCAAAAAATTTACCTCAGTCTAAGCCTTCGCTTCATGGACTAAGCCTCATAAATTTTTTTATTAAAAATTACGCAATATTATTTTAGGACGGATCATCATCCGAATTAATCATAAACTAAAATCCACGAAAGTCCAACAAATATTGCTTTAATTAGTCAAACTAGTAATCATTAGTGATGAACTCTTTTGAACAACCTGAACTTCAATCCAAAGAGGACCCGTGACAAGATCTTTGGGTCGAGACATCTTTATTAATTATTTCTTGATCTTTTTTTAAAAAACTCAATTAAGAATGTCTTTTCACTATTATTGTTATCTATAGGATATAATCTCTTACCCTATTGCACCAATGACTGAGTTTACGTCTGCATGCATCAATTTTGGAAAGTGACCATGCAGGTCATGTAAATCCCAAAATCATAACATAATTTTTGGAAATGCATACATTTTAAATTGTTAGAGGCAAAATCATTATTCACCCCTTTGAATGTTGGCCAATATTTATTTTATCCCTTTGTTAGTTTTACGGGTGTACATTTTGATTGATACGTCTTGGGTGGCGAAATCCTTGAAAGGAAACTATAATTATAAATAGACTAAATTCAGATTTATTTTGAGATAACACTAGTTCGTAAGCTCAACATAAAAAACAAATTAACTTGGAATTTCTTTAGGTAATAATGAAATAGTTAGGATTGATCAATCTAACATGCAAGGCATAGTGACTAGTATATACTATTTCATGCAGGATGAGGATGAGAAACTGCAAGAGAGAAGCAATGACGCACGTACTTAGTCTGGTTGTTAACATGTACCCGTTTGCCTGGATTGGAACAAACAGGCTGACTGCATCATGGGCCCGTGGATGTATAAATACACGTCCTTCAATATACTTTGAAGGATATTTTCTTTTATTTTTGTTTCAGGGAATTCGAGCTAACTTATGGTTGTAGTGGGACAACCTCTGACTCTTATATCTAGTGACAACACTTCAAATTAAATATAGTAATATATAAGAATTAAAATTAATAAGAAGCTTGAAGATAAATATTATAATTGCGATAAGGCTTCATACAACAGTAAAATTATTCTATTTTAACTGGCTATTAAGGATTTGAGTCTCGAAAATAATTTATCTATAAACAGGAATAATGCTGCATAGTTTTGACCGACTCTAGTCGTCTCTCAGTGTCAAAAATCTCATGAATTGTGGTGATGCACAAATTAGTTGCACACCACTAGTCAAGTGAGTAGTATAAAATGCAATAAAATAAGTAGAGGAA